GGGGGCGGGGGCCGCCGCGGCTCCCCACCCCCACCCTTCCCCTCCCCCCACTGTGGCCCGCAAGGGGCCGGGGCCCACCAGACCCCCACACCCCGCCCGTGTTTTTAGGGCCAGGCCTCTGCTGGGGGATATGAATTATCAGACGTTCCCCACTCCATGAAACACCCATGGGGCTAGAGCCCGTCGAGCCCCCTAACAGGGTGGCCTTTTCCTCGCGTGGCTTCTTAGCAGTGGGGATCGGAGAAGATGGGGGGACATCGCCCTCCTCTACTCCTCCCTTCAGTGGGAGTGTGGGTGGGGGTGGGCGCGATGGGGCCCAGCCAGGGGCACCGCTGCCCAGGCCTGTGTGCTGGGCCAGGGCCCTGCACTTCCCCTTCCTCGCTCCCCCCTGCCGTTTCTGGTCCAACCCCCCAAGAATGGGGCTTAGCGGGGCCGGGGAGCCGCAGCCAGAGGTGCGGAGTTGAACTCTGCCTGGACGTTTGCTCTGCTGTCTGCCTCCTTCCCAGCCTTCTGCAGAAGAGAGAAATAAGGTCAAACAAACTTTCTCCCTACTCACGACGCCCTCCCTCTTTCCTGGTAAAATAATAATTCAGATAAGTGGCGTGTTTGTGTGTGAGCCTTGCTTTTCCTTCTCTGCTCATTAGCTGAGCTTCTGATGGATGGTGGTTGGGAATGGTCTGGCGAAATGAGGCACTTTGCAGAAGAGAGATGGGAAAGAGCCACTAAGACAATAACCGTGCAGTCCAGCCTCTCAAACACACACTGGGAACTTTCCAGTGAGCTATTAGATGAGAAGAAAAGACATACATGAAAAATTTTCTCTTTTTGTTGAAAGCCTGCAGTGCTTTCTTTATAACAAGACCCTAAATTGATTTGGATTAAATATGATAAAAGGGTAAAAAAAAAATATTCTGATATCACCCCTAGAGTGCTCTGCCTCTTAGAAAGTGACCCCCTTCCCTCCCTCTACCTCCTCTTCCCAGGCAGACCTGTGGAAAGTTTGTCAACGTGCTTCCTCTTACCTGACCTGCTCACCTGATTTTTTTTTTTTTTTTAAAGTCAGTGATTGAAATGTAGGTTGGGCTGTTAAACCTTTCTCCAAGCTCTGAATTTGTTTTAGGTCAATAGTTTTATGTGAGAAGCATACTCCAGGGCAAACTGGATTGGAGGGAAAAGATGTGAAGCAGTTATAGCACAGAGGACACATGTTTAGCGAGCCCTGACTACACAGTGATGAGAAGTGTCTTTTTTTGTTTATTATTAAAGAAATGACGTGTATGGGACAAAAGTCTAGGAGAACTTGATAAAAACATTAATTGAAATGAAAATGCCTGGAAAATAAGGATCTGTGAGTAGTAGGCACATGAGAGAATATATTAAGGTTGCATTATTAAGTACCAGTGAATGAATTACGTGCTAAATTTTTAACATGAATTGCTTAACATAGAAAGTCATAGATTGACAAATGTGAATTTTCTCTTGAAAAGATTACTTTCTGTACTTCCTTTAATTACAGATTATGTCTACTTTGAGAATTCGTCCAGCAACCCATATCTAATCAGAAGGATAGAAGAACTCAATAAGGTACAAACTGAGTGTTCTTGATTCTAATATTAAAAGATATTTGTTTTCCAGGGCTGGCCCGTGGCTCACTTGGGAGAATGTGACACCAAGACCAAGGGTTTGGATCCCTATATAGGGATGGCCGGTTAGCTCACTTGGGAGAGAGTGGTGCTGACAACACCAAATCAAGGGTTAAGATCCCCTTACCGGTCATCTTTTTTAAAAAAAAAAAGAAAAAAAAGAGATTTGTTTTCTATTGAAGGGTAACTGGGTAAAGGGCAAAAAGGGGGTTTTACGTTCAGTCCCAGACTTTCTGAAAGTAGAGATTTCAGATTAGAGAGTTATGCAGAATTCTGAATTTTCTTTTGCTTTTTATAATTACCTGTTTTTCTCTCTCATATTAAATGCTGTTATTGAATATTTAAAAGTCTGCACATTTCTTAAAATTGCTTAGGGCCTCTCAAAGAGCAGGTCATTTCTGTAACTCAATCTTTTTTTATATTTAGAGTCATAATGTGTAGTATTTCTCCCTTTTTAGTGGATTATTTCATTTTATTTTATTCTTTTAGTTTTGGTGGCTGTCCAGTATGGGGATCCCAACCCTTGACCTTGATGTTATCAGCACTTCACTGTAACCAAGTGAGCTAACCAGCCAGCCTTTTTTTTAGTGAATTAGTATTTTCCTCTTCTAGCTTTACAAGGAAGAAGCAAGGAAATATAATACTGAAGGAAATTTGTAGAATTCTAGATTAGGGTAACTAATAAGAGTACAGTTTTGGTATGGTAATATAAAGTAGCTTTGTACCTTTGGTCAAGGTAAAATAAAACATTTAAGTTAAGGTCTGTCCCTGCTTGCAGGTGTTTAGGACAACTAAAGCATTGTGACTGTTGGAAGTAGATGAGCTTTTACAATGGAGGCACTGGAGAACAGTCAAACTACAGGGACCATAGATTTTCTATCGATGCTCTGATTTCCTCCAGACTACTTCGAGTGTTATTTGTGTGGTTCATGAGAATTCATGGTGTTAAAATCTTTGGGGCTGGGCCGGCCCGGTGGCGCACTGGATAGTGCGCCGCTTGGGAAGCGCGGTGGCGCTCCCGCCCGAGGGTTCGGATCCCACATACAGACCGGTTCCCGCTCACTGGCTGAGCGAGGCGCGGGGGCAACGCCGAGGGTTGCGGTCCCGTTGCCGGTCCCGGTCCGGTGCGGGGGCGACACTGAGGGTTGCGATCCGTTGCCGGACACGGAAAAAGACAAAAAAAAAAAAAAAAAATCTTTGGGGCTATCTAGCTAATACCTTTTCCCCAAAATGCCATTTGGAGACATGTCCAGATCTGAGTCCCAGGAAGCCAGGCCTGGCATAGGTCATTATTGGTTTAAAAAGCCTTCAGATCTTGGTTTGCTTCTGGGATACCCCAGGGACTTTGCATTTAAAAAAAATTCTATAGTATTTGAGACCACCACCAAATGAAGAGAATGACTTCAGGTTTAGAACAGTCCATAGGGCCGGCCCGGTGGCGCACTCAGTACAGTGCGGCGCTTGGGAGTGCGGCGGCGCTCCCGCCGAGGGTTCGGATCCCATATAGAGACCGGTCCGCTCACTGGTTGAGCGTGGTGCGGGCGCAGCACCGAGGGTTGCAATCCCGTTGCCGGTCGCGGTATGGGCGCGACACT